AGTTACTCAAACACGCCACGTCTTTGGTGTACTTCTCTATGGAAGCGCGGCTCTGGGAGACTTTTGTCACGAAGTGGCTGAAGTTGCGGACGTGCTGGTCGAGCCTCTTGCTCATGCAGTCCAGAATCTTACGAACGTAGTCGTCGTCCGCCTCGCTGCTTGTTCCGAGCTGCGCCCTGCCCCGGGCGCCCCTGCGGTGGAGGTTTGGCCAGGGTCGGGCAGGAGAGCCCTGGAGCGCCCGAGCCCATGCGGGTGATCAGCTCCAACAGCTGCTGGTTATGCGGACGCTGCTGCGCCATTGTCTGCTGCATCTGCTCCATCATCCTTATTTGCTGTTCGACCAGGGTGGGCAAGTTGGTCTTTGGATCGTCGTCCTCGCCGTTTCGGATCCACTTGCCCCTTCCTGGTGTCGTCGCCGCTCTCGGTTGCGATCCCAACGCAGCCATGGCGCCAGCAAGCGAAGGACCAGCCAGTTGTGCAAGCGCCATCGCGTAATAAGATGTCAGCCAAGTTCTTCTAACTGTGGCTACGCGGTATCACTTGCCACATAATCAATGCTCAACGGCCCTTGGGAAGTCGAATTGGGCTGTTGCATGCCAGCCTTGAGCCTAGAATCTAAGGAAGCACGCTCGATGATATGAATATACCCCAATTTTGAATCATGGGCCAGGCCTGCCGCTTAGACAGTTCTGTTTGACAGGACAGGGCCTGCTGGCCCCTTGCGACAAGCTGCGCTGAACATGTTACTGATGATGATGAGGACGACGACGACGATGATGATGATGATGATGATGACGATGATGATGATGATGACGACGATAGCGACGATGATGGCGATGATGACGATGAGGAGGAGGAGGATGAGGATGAGGATGAGGATGATGAAGGATGGATGGATGGACGGACAGACGGACGGACGGACGGATGAGTATGATGATGATGATGATGATGATGATGATGATGGTGATGATGGTGATGATGGTGATGGTGATGGTGATGGTGATGGTGATGGTGATGGTGGTGATGATGATGATGATGATGATGGTGGTGGTGGTGATGCTGATGATGATGATGATGATGATGATGATAATGATGATGACGATGATGATGATGACGATGATGCTGATGATGATAATGATGCTGATGATGATTATAGGGGGTATGAGGTGGCCCATCACTGGTGCTTGCCAGCAGGGATGGGGCAGTTCCGAGGTGCTGGGCTCGACACGGTTTCTTGATTTGTTTCGGCCTGGAGACCGTGTTCGGGGGGGTTCGGGGGACAGTTGTTGAACGGATTTCCCCTTATTCTGATCCCTTTTCTTGACCAATTTTCATGGGGCCCATCCAATTCAGATCAAGACAGAGCGCGTTCCACTACTCGCAAAGTGCCTACTCATAAACGTCATGAAGAACATGCCTTTCTCTACGTCATGGATCGTAAATCCCTCCCTGCTGATCCAGGCCATCTGCGAATAGTTATTTTTGCGAGCAGTGCAACGCGCTTGTCCACCAAGGTGGGCTCGTGCGCGCCAGCGGGGCTTGCGAGCAAGACTTTTGCGACCGCGAGGCCCGCGGCGGGCCCGGCACCCCGAGCTGGGCCTGGCCCAGAGCACGCCTCGCCGCTGCGAAGCGCGCCGGCGGCTTACGGGGGAGCATGGGCAGAGGTGGGAAGGAGGAGGAGGAGGAGGAGGAGGAGGAGGAGGAGGAGGAGGGTGGAAGAGGAGGAGGAGGAGGAGGAGGAGGAGGAGGAGGAGGAGGAGGGAGGAGGAGGAGAGGAGGAGGAGGGGAGGGGGAGGGGAGGAGAAGGAGGAGGAGAGAGGAGGAGGAGGAGGAGAGGAGGGGGAGAGGGAGGAGGACAAGCTTGGTGCGCTCGCGTCATATCTGACATCCTACCCCTCCCTCCCATCCCTTACCATGGCGCAGATCCCCTCTCTACTCGCACAGTCGGATGTCGAGCAGGGCAATAATCCCGAAAGGGTACGCGATGCATTGTAGAGCACGGCATAGCATGGCGTAGAAGAGCACCGCCAAGCGTAGTATCAACCTAGCATTGCATTGCACCGTGGCATGGCACGGGAAATGACGGAGCGCTGCAGCGGGAACACGAGTCGAAACAAGCGGAAGCGCGGAAATGAGGCCAGCGCTGCAGCGGGAGCACGATTCGGAACGAGCGGAAGCGCGGAAATGAGGCCAGCGCTGCAGCGGGAGCACGATTCGGAACGAGCGGGGCCCGAAAATGAGGCCGGCGCCTCAGCGAGAGCAGCATTTTGAAAAAAATGCAGGCGAAAACCCAACTCCGGGGAAACCTGTGTCAAAAACAGTACGCGGGGGGGAGTCGGCCACTTTGAAACCGTCATCAGGGGAAGAGGGAGAGTAGTATTCATATTGAGTAATTGTGGAGGAGGAGGAGGAGGAGGGAAGGAGGAGGAGGGGAGGAGGAGGAGGAGGAGGAGGAGAGGAGGAGGGGAGGAGGAGGAGCACGGATCAGAGCAGGAGCAGGAGCAGGAGCGCAGGAGCAGGAGCAGGAGCAGGAGCAGGCAGCAGGAGCAGGAGCAGGAGGAGGAGGAGGAGGAGGAGGAGGAGGAGGAGGAGAGGAGGGAGGAGGAGGCGGAGGAGGAGGACGGTGGAGGAGGAGGAGGGAGGAGGAGGAAGAGGAGGAGGAGGGGGGAGGATGAGGAGGAGGAGAGGAGGAGGAGGAGGAGGAGGAGGAGGGAGGAGGAGGATGAGGAGAGGATGAGGAGGAGGAGGAGGAGGAGAAGGAGGAGGAGGAGGAGGAGGAGGGAGGGAGGGAGGAGGAGGAGGAGGGAGGAGGAGGAGGAGGAGGAGGAGGAGGAGGAGGAGGAGGAGGAGGAGGAGGAGGAGGGAGGAGGGAGGAGGGAGGAGGGAGGAGGGAGGGAGGAGGGAGGAGGGAGGTGTGTGCGACGAGGGGCATGGCGCGAGTCGTGCTCCGATGGACACTGGAAGGCCCCCTGCGGGGCAGAGCATCATAATAAGTACCTGTTGAGAGGTGTCGGGTAGGGGGTACAAGCAAAAAGAGCCCACGGGGAGAGCGAATGGGGGCGCTCCACGACGTGAGAGCCTGCACAGACGCTACGCGCCACTCAGCTACACTCTGAACGAAGGGCAAGACAGATCTAATCAGGAGGGCGGCTCTCATAGAGAGGAGACGGCTGGACACCAGTACTTCTCGCACACCTTGAAATAGAGTATGTCCTCCGAGTCCTTGTAAGTCAGCCAGGAGTCGATCCTGAACAAAGAGTCCAGGTCATACTGCGAGAGAACGTCCGAGATCCTTCGCTGGCGGATCCTGTGGCGCTCTCCAGGTCTTGACGAAACTGTCAGCGGCGGCTGCGGCATGTCGGGCGAGGTTGGGGCTGCTGCGGCAGGGCGCATGCCCACCTTCGCTCCACAAGACAAGCTGCCATCAACTTCTGGAGGGGCTGCGTGCTTGTTCATCTCCTTGGGTACTGCCGCTTCCGCAACGACGCCGAGAGCCGTGAGCAGCGTGTCCAACTGCATCGCAGGGGCCTCGGGCGCGAAATCTGGTGGCTGCCAGATGCCAGGCGGAACCGCTGGGGCATTGACAGAGGCCAAGATGATGTCGGCGTCGGAGTGCAAGCAGTGCTTGGCCAAGTACGCGACGTCCTTGCTCCAAGGCGCACGGCCCACGCGCGCACAATAGACCAGTCGCCGAAAAACAGCGCGCGTGAGCCTCGGGGAGGGTCCGGATCTGCCTCGTGAGCACGGCCAGCCGGAGCATGCCAGGCGCGAAAGCGGCGGCCGGCGCGCATGACAGCTGCCCCGATGGACGGGATCTCGCAGCAGCACCGTGTGTGCTAAAAAGGACCTCGCAGCCGGAACGGCGGCTTGAGCCAAAATGGCTACGGGGGGGGGAGGTAGGAGGGAGGAGGGAGGAGGGACGAGGGACGGGGGACGAGGACGAAGGGACGAGGGACGAGGACGAGGGACGAGTGGACGAGGGACGAGGGGACGAGGGGCGAGGGGGGAGGGGGGAGGGGGGAGGGAGGAGGGAGGGGGGGAGGAGGAAGGGGAGGAGGAAGGAGGAGGAGGAGGAGGAGGAGAGGAAGGAGGAGGAGGAGGAGAGGAGGAGGAGGAGGACGAGGACGAGGGAAGGAGGGACGAGGACTGGAGGAGGGAGGAGGGACTAGAGAGGACGGAAGGACGAGGAGGACTAGGAGGACGCAGGAGGACGAGGGGAGGAGGAGGAGGAGGAGGAGGAGGAGGCGAGGAGGATGAGGAGGACGAGGAGGACGAGGAGGACGAGGAGGACGAGAAGGACGAGGAGGACGAGGAGGAGGAGGACAAGGGGACGAGGAGGATGACGAGGAGGACGAGGAGGACGAGGACGAGGAGGACGAGGAGGACGAGGAGGACGAGGAGGACGAGACAGACGAGGAGGACGAGGAGGACGAGGAACGAGAAGGAGGAGACAGGACGAGGCGAGGAGGAGGAGGAGGAGGAGGAGGGGAGGAGGAGGAGGAGGAAGGACGAGGACGAGGAGGGAGGAGGGAGGAGGGAGGAGGGAGGAGAGGAGGAGGAGGAGAGGAGAGAGAAGAGGGAGGAGGGAGGAGGGAGGAGGAGGAGGGAGGAGGGAGGAGGAGGAGGAGGGAGGGAGGAGGAGGACGAGGAGACGAGGAGGCCGAGGAGGAGGAGGAGGACGGGAGTAGGGGAGGAGAGAAGGAGACGAGGAGGACGAGGAGGACGAGGAGGAGGAGGAGGAGGAGGACAAGGAGGACGAGGAGGCGAGGGAGGAGGACGAGGAGGACGAGGAAGGGGAGGAGGACGAGGAGGAGGAGGAGGAGGAGGAGGAGGAGGAGGAGGAGGAGGAGGAGGACGGAGTAGGGAGGAGGGAGAAGGAGGACGAGGAGGACGAGGAGGACGAGGAGGACGAGGAGGACGAGGAGGACGAGGAGGAGGAGGAGGAGGAAGAGGAGGAGGAGGGAGGAGGAGGGGCCAGTGCATTTCGGGCGCGAGCGCAGGCGAAGCAGCAGTCGCTCCTGGACTTCTTGTCGAAGGACTTTCCTCTCTTTCCCGACTGGCAGAAAACGGCATACGTAGGCATACATTCAACTGGCATAGTAAGGATGGGCATCTTTCCCAAGCGTACCCTCGGGGGCCTCCTGGGGGCCTCCTGGGCGCGTTTGGGGAGCCCCTCTTGGGGCTTCTTGGGGGCCTCTCGGGGGCGTCTGGAGGGTTTGCTGGCTGTCGCGGGCGCCCTCCTGGGGGTCTCCTGGGCCGCCGTGGACGCTTTTGAAACCGAAAGGCGAGCGTACAGTTCACCCGCATAGTAAGGATGGGCAACCTTCCCAAGGGTACCCTTGCATCCTTGCCTCCTCGGTCCACTTTCATTGGCCGCGCCCCGCTCGAGAAGTTTCGAAATGGGCGTCCCAGGCCCTTGCAACCTTTATCGCGCATCCTTACTATACGGGTTGACTGTAATGTCTCGGAGGTCCGCCTGGATTGCTTGGATCGGCGCTGGGCCCCCCTCTGGGCAGCGCCCACGGCGCCGCCCCTGTCGCGCTCCGCGCGCCAGGCAGGGGAGCTCCAGCGCCGATCCGAGAAATTCACGCGGACCTCCGAAAGTAAATGTGCACAGTTGGTCCGTGTCATAAGGATGCGCGATAAGGATGCAAGTCGACTGTATGCACTTGGAAGTCCCCTCACTTCCAGCATCGGAGAAAGTTGTCCTGGTTGGAGCGGGTCCTGGAGGCTTGCCGTCCTTCTCGGGCTCCTGGGGGGCCCTGCCAGGACCCGCGGGCCGTCAAAGGTGATGCAGGATGAGGGAGTTGGTCGGTTCCTCCTCTTCCTCCTCCTCCTCCTCCGCCTCCTCCTCTTCAAGGGCCCCAGGATCCAGGATTGGTTCATTCCAAGAGCTGTTTCCCTCCTGGCGGCTTTGGGCTGGCGGTGGGCGCCTGTGCAGTCAAGATTTGCGCTTGCACTGCCTACGACTTGCTCTACCGCGCACTGGGCATCGGCAGCGTCCGTGGATGCACCGACGCCTCGGCCCTGTTGCTGCCACGGCCCCCGCTGCCGCTGCTGGCCGCGCCGGCGCGCTCGGGGTGGAAGTCTTCCACGTCTGAGTGCGTGGTGCGGACCGCCTCCGCCTCGTCGCTGACGGAAGGTGTGTTGAGTGCGTGCAGGGCGCGTGCCCATCGAGTTGGCCCGTTGCGCTCGGGGTGGTCTTGAGGCCCAGTCGTTACTGTGGCGATGGGAGCACCGGCCTCCACTCGGAGCAGAGGGTGTCAGAGATCCCCGGTGGCCATCCAGCCTTCTTCTCTCGGGGCTCAAGAGACTGGGGCCAGTGCAAACGAGGGTCAGCCAGAGCGGCGGATCTTGCAGGATCCTGCAGAGCCAGGGGTGCATTGTTCCCGGGCTTGGGCGCAGGATCTTGCAAGATCCTGCAACGCCTGATTGACCCGGGCTTGCACTGACCCGGGCCAGCGCGTCCCCGACTCTTTTTTGTCTTTCATTAGGTTTAACACCTGTTCCCAGACCTCCCGTTGGCATCATACTTACGCCGCGGCGGCCCGTCGTGGTCCGCCGCTGGCGTTCTGTGCAGGCTGCCCCGGGCGCCATCGAGCCGTCCCGTCGCCCTCCTGGCACGCGCAGGAACGAGACGTGTAAAGCACATTCACACACACCATACACAGACACAATTAATTGACGATTCCCTGGAAAATATGGGCAACTATGGGAAGCGGGGGGGAAGACGATTCTTCCAAAAATGTGGAAGATGTGAGGGAATCCTGGGATTTGTGTGCCATGAACCTTGTTCCTTGTGAGTTCGAATGCAGGCAGCGTGCGCGCGCGTGGACGTGGGGCCGGCCACCGCCAAGCCGGAGTGGGTCAGGATCTCCTGAGCGGGAGCGACTTGACAACGCCAGCTCTGGCCAGCTCAGGGCCAGGAGCCGCTCCTGTGCCCAGAGGCGCGAGTAAGTCTCAGGCGACTGGTCGGGGTAATTAGCATGAAGCAAGGCATCCTCCTCTTGCTCTTCCTCCGCATGTTCGTCCCCCTTAATCTCTGTTCATCTTCATATTGTTTTTGTTCTTCCCTCCTTTTCCTCATTCCGCTTTCTTCTCCTCTCCCTGCTCTTTTCCTCTAACTCTTGAAGCGTCGAGACAGCTCCAAGACGTCTCCAACTGAGTCACCGGACGAGCCCCAAAGAGGTCCAAGGCTGGCGCAACAGGGCCTTGCGTGTGGGAAAAGCAGAGAAAACGCAACAGAAAAACAATGTTTTCGGCCTTTTTGCTTTTTCATTTCCGGTTGACTCGGGGGGCGTCCAGACGACCCCAGGACCTAGGACGGCCACAGGGAGGGCGGGGGGGGGGCGTTCCCCGACCCTTAGGGCCTGGAGAGGGGGTCCCAGAGATGGACACATGTAGGAACATATTGGGGAAAGCCAGGTGTTTCGTCTTCTCGCCTTGTCGCTTCCGATCGGCTCTTGAGGCGTCCAGGTGCCTCCAAGACGGCTCCAGATGATGCCCAGGACGAGCCCCAAAGAGGCCCAAGGCTGGCGCAACGGGGCGTGGAGAGTGGGAAAAGCAGAGAAAACGCAGTAACAAAACAAGGTTTTCGGCGTTCTCGCTTGTACACTCGCTTCATTCGGGGGGCGTCAAGACCCCAGGATGGCCATAGCAAGGCGCCAGACAGGCCCGAGGAGGCGAAATTCGTTTTGGGGGGGGCGCTGAGGTCCCGGCCTTACAGAGAGATATAAATAGGAACGTGTGTGTGTGTGTGTGTGTCCCTGGGCCCCTTCGTGTCTGCCCTTCGCCCCGAGGAGACGGGGTGGTGCGTCACCACGGCCTGGATACCTGCTCCAGACAAGGACGTGGGGGGGGCGGGAACGTTTGGGGCGCAGAGGAGACGGAGAGGAGGAGAAGGAGGAGGAGGAGGAGGAGGAGGAGGAGGAGGTGGTCCACGATGGTCCCGGTTTCAAGCGACGGCACGTTGGCACCGCAGTTCTGGCCCGGACAGTTGGAACAGTCGAGTAATTACGAGTTTCCGTATATGTATAATTAACGCTTGCAGCGCAGCCTTCGCCTCCCCGAAGCTAATAGAAAGCATGCGCAGCATGCGTCTCCTGGTATCGGGGAATCCCTCGAGCTGCCCTTCGAGGGGAGGCGAAAAGGGGAAACCAGATTGTTCCATGCCCTTTTCTCTTGCATATTTGCGTCACTGCACAGTGCACCCTCGTGGCGCACGTCCCTTGTTCACTTGCCGTGTGCATGGTGACTCTGCAGCTGCCGTGTGCAGACTCGCTGCTGCCGAAGGCGCAGCATTCTCTCGAGCCGGAAGGCACCCGGGAGTTGGGCACACGGGAGGAATGCCCGGCGGGCAGAGAGCTTCGCCAGCTGTGCTTTCCACAGGCCATGCTTCATCGAAGACGCTCCGGGGGCGCCCGACGACTCCGGCTGCCCGGCGTCATTTGGCTCCAGCAGAAGGTTCTTTGGAAACTCGCGACAAGAAGTAGATGTGTGCACGCCCATCGGCGACATGAGTTGTCGCGCGCGCGCGTGCTCAGCGCTCGCGCGCGCGAGATCCCAAGACGTCCCCATGGCCATAGAATGGTTCCAAGAGGGCCTGAGGCCACAGACGGTAACGTTCAGACGACCCTGGGATGACGCCGAGGGCTGACGCGGTTGAGCTAACTAGATCTCCAGGCAGGTCTACATAGGGATATTCGTTCCAGAACGCTCTGGAACGGCCGCGGCGCCCGATACATCGTCCAGATCCACAGGGCTTCAGACATCCCAATTATCTCTGCCTGATCAGGTCTTCTTCTCGTTATTATTATCGTCGTCGTATTATTCTTACTACGATTATTATTAGTGTTATGATGCTTATCATTATTCTTATCATTATTAGCAGTCGTATTCTTATTCTTAATGTTACTATTCGTAGTATCGTTATCATTCGCATGATCATTGTTCTTGATAGTAGTTTTCGTATATCAGTATGACTGTTATTATGATTGTTGTGCTTCTTGCCGTCGTTTGAGACCTGGCGTGAGACGGCTGGGGCCGCCGTTGCCCGACGAAGGTGCAGAGCACGGGCCACGACCTCGTGTGCATCGCGGACAAGGACCGCCACGACCGACGGAGCCATATCATCAGGGGCAACGATGGGGGGGCGACGCTCGGGAGGGAAAGCGCCGACCCCCAATCGCCCACGGATCCCCGACAGGGGGTCCGATAGACCGCCCCGCCCAGGACCGCTTGGAGCCGCTGTCGGTGGCCTATCGGCGATGCATCCCCGATTCCAGGCCGCTGCTTCCCCCCCCTCCTGCTCCTCCGCCTTCTCCTCCTCCTCCGCCTCCTCCTCCTCCGCCTCCTCCTCCTCCTCCTCCTCCTCCTCCTCCTCCTCCTGCAGAGGGACAGGCCCGAGCGAGTCCCGACGCCTCCCCCCGTCGCGCGCCCCCCTCGTCGCGCCCGCCCACCTCCTGACCGTGGGGGTCGCGGACGCCGTCGGTGCCCCACCCGCGCCGCCCACCGGTGGAACTCTGGCAGCGCACCGATCGCTCGTGCCGGCTCCCGAACCCCAGCTGGTGGGGGGTCCTCGATTTCAACCTGTCGAGGTGGGTCGGCCACGCGCGGAGGGGGGCAGGGGGAGGGGGGACGGCTTCTCAGAAGCACCCCTGCTTCTCAGAAGGCGCGGGCCTGTGTGTAGATGCAGCGCCCGCGCCTTCTAAGAAGGAGGCTCCTTCTCGGCAGCCTTCCCCCCTCCCCCTACCCCCCTCTGTTCGCCGCCAACTAGGGTCCTTCGGGGTTCATCCCCTGAGCCAGTGCGCGGCACTTCCCCACGTGTGGCCGCACACACTCTTATCAGAGTGAGGGGCGTCCGAATGGTCTTGTTGGGGACCAGCGGAGGGACCACAGGAGCACCATACGGGGGCGGCATCTGCAGGGGCCACACGCGGGGACCACCATGCGAGTTGGGCACACGAGGGGACCATGCGGGGAGGCCGCCACACGGATTGACCCTGTGGCGGGTTGCATCACGTTTTCTTTCGTGCCTCGCAAACTGCCAACGAACCTTCTCGCCCCTCCACGCTTATCCGCAACTGCTGGGGCTGTGTGCTCAATACAGAGAACAGAGAACTCGATGGTAAGTGAGGGCACTCCACTCAGTTCCTGCGGCACGGTGGAGGATCTGACAGGCGATAACCCGGTAGGGTCTTTAGAAAAGGGCCCCCCCCCCTGGTTCTTTCTGCGGGGAATAGGAATAAAACTCCGCGCCCCCCCGTCCTCCCCCCTCCCTCCCCCCGTCCTCCCCCCTCGCTCCCTCTCCCTCCCCCCACTGAGGACCTCCCGCAAGCTACGAGGACTGAGGACACTCTCGCAAGTAGTAGTAGTAGTAGTAGTAGTAGTAGTAGTAGTAGTAGTAGTAGTAGTAGTAGTAGTAGGAGTAGTAGTAATCGTAGTCGTAGTAGTGGTGTTAGTGTTAGTGTTAGTGTTAGTGTTAGTGTTAGTGTTAGTGTTAGTGTTAGTGTTAGTAGTAGTAGTAGTAGTAGTAGTAGTAGTAGTAGTAGTAGTAGTAGTGGTGGTGGTGGTAGTAGTAGTAGTAGTAGTAGTAGTAGTAGTAGTAATCGTAGTAGTAGTAGTAGTAGTAGTAGTAGTAGTAGTAGTAGTAGTAGTAGTAGTAGCAGTAGTAGTAGTAGTCGGAGTAGTAGTCCTCGTAGTAGTAGTAGTAGTAGTAGTCGTAGTAGTAGTAGTAGTCGTCGTCGTAGTAGTAGTAGTCGTAGTAGTAGTAG